GCGGAGGGCGTGGCGGGGGGGGGGCTGACTGTTGCCTAGCAACCCCTGGGTTCCAGGTGATGCTCGCTAAGGTGGACAGGGCTGGGCTAGAGCTGCCCATTGGGGCAGTGGGTTCCCTGGGGCGCTGTTGGGGGCTCACTCCAGCCAGAGCGGACTGGACCAGAGCGGGGTGTGGGGTGTGTGTGTGGGGGTCAGGGAGGCCCCACTTACATCGATGGAGCAGCCCAGCAGAGAGCCTTTCTGCAGAGCCTTCTGGATGATCTTGAACAGGTTGGCCGGGGCCTTCTTCAGCTCGTACCACTCGGCGATGCCTCCCGTGAAGTCCTCGAAGCCCTCGGTGGTGGCGCCCCCCGAGAGCGCTTCATAGCACCCGTTGATCCTAAGGGAGGGGAAGAGGTGATGCAGCCTGGCTGTTGCCTAGCAACCCCTGGGGGCCTTCATCGGATGCTCCCGGAATCCTCTGCCCAGATTCTCCTGGCCTTGCCTCCAACTCGGGGTGCCCACGAGGGCAAGTTACGATCTCCACAGCTACCGTTTCCCTGGTACTTTGAAAAGGGTTGTGTTTTTTTGGAAAACCTCAGAGCAGCTGAGAGCTGGAAGGCCCTGGTGATTATGCGGTCCCACCTCCCGTATTGATCCTTCCTACTCAGCACAGGAGAGGGGAGGTCTGCCAGTGGGCTGTTTGGCATGTGTAGCTTGAAAAACGACAACAATTCAATAACGAAGGCACTTTCCCGGAGCACAGGCAGTGCCCTGGGCCTCTGGGCGTCCTGGGGCTCTGCTAACTCTACTGTTTGAGCATGTGACTGCGGAGTGGCTCCCAGGGCTAGATTCTCACAGCGGGGTGTGTGGGTCCCGGCCCTCCTCGCTGGCAGGGGCAGTAAGAACCGAGGCCCCGGCGCCTGAGAGCCGGTCAGTTTGATGGACTGAGCCCAGGCCGCATGGCCAGGACGAGGCCATTCTGGGGAGGCTGGTGAGGGGGGGGGCTGATGTGGGCCTTCCCATTGGCAATGGGCGGTGTTGCACCCTGGACGCCTGGGCTTTGGGCCTGGTGGGGTGGGACACAGCTGGGAAGAGCATGGAAACCATTTCTGATCAGAGACACGGTATGTCCCGGGCAAACTTCCCTCCCGTTCATACCCCTGCAATGGGTGGTTTGGCCCGTTGGCAAGATCGCTCTGCTGTGCTCAGCTGGCAAAAATGCACTGTGACCTGCCAGGGCGTAGCAGTCGGCACGCTCAGCGCCATGATCCGTTCCTGTGCCCGCGGTGACAATGGCCTAGTGGTCACTGGGCAGTTGCGTCACGAGGCCAGGCCCTGCATGCATGATCACCTTGAATTCTGAGCCCGGTTTGGGCCCAAGAAGTCCTTCAATATGACACCTCTGTTTCTCAAAGTCGCCTGGGAATGGCTCCTGCTGTTTCCCGAATCCAGGGCAGCTGGGGTGGGTGGGTGAGGGGGTTGGCGCTGCCACAGGGACCCCTGGCACTTACTTGGCGTAGGCCTTCTCCAGCAGCGCGCTCCAGAACTCGCTGCCCTCTGCCGAGTGCACGAACAGCAGCTCCCCGTCCTTGGTGGGCAGCCTGTCGTCCACCACCACCTCCACCCACTCGCCGTACTGCCAGAACTGGGCACAGGGAGGGAAGGGGTGGCTGGAGCAGCCGGGGCCGCACGGGAACCCAGAGAGAGCCTCAGCTGCACCTGTCCCGTCCCTCCCCCCCCCTTCTCCTACAAAACCATCTGAGGTGGGAGACGACCCCAGGGTTGGCTGAGCTGAGCTGCCTGGCACACTTTCCTTCTAAACCCCCTCCTGGGGGCAGGTCCCCACC